AGCTAAACTTGCACTCTTGAATTCCTACTCAAAGAAATTGTGCAAGATATTGTTTAGTGTTGTTTCAAACCACTAAGTTGGAGGTAACTATTACACTGTAATAGATAACCTAGGTATTCACTGAATATTTGTTAATCAGCAAGTGAATGAGTGAATGATGACTGCGGTTTCTCATCTCACCTGTGGGCTTTGAGGATGCTTGCTCTACTGCTAATGTCCCAGGTTATGGAACCTTATGTCCCAGCTTTCTATATAAGGACAGAAGCCATCTGTAAGAAACATTTAGAGGGAAATCAAATTTGCTAATCTCAACTTATCTGGATTTTCAATTCTGCCAAGTGCAGGATACCATATATATTTTTGTGACAAAATTTAAAATAAGAATAAGCCATGTGCAACGGTATAATGTCACTGTCCTAGAAAAAAATACATGTGCTAGACTTTAAATATATCGGCTCTGAAATGCCACTTATGGATTGTCTCTATGGTACCAACCTATTTAAAGTTGTGGCTGAGCAAAGATATTTCCTCCCAAATTTTTCAGAGGCAATATAGAAGCTACTGTGGGGCACAGGCCATATGAGGGAGTGGGTAGGGATGTGGATTCTGGGTTAGTAATGAAAAGTACTTCTTAGAAGGGGGGGGACTGGAGCTGCCCCCATGGCCTAGTGGTGATGGCAGTTCAGATCCTGGCCCAACTTAAAAAACATGCCAGGTGCATGTGCACGTGCATGCATGCCCCAATTCCAATAGGATAGAGAACTGGAGAAAGGACTATGTTGTGACCATGCCCCATTGGCGGGTCTCTCTCCCCATCTCTCTCTGGAGAGCACATGGCCCTCTGGCAAATTAAAAACAACAAAAAAAGAAGGTTGAAGTATTGAAGAAACGATAAATGCAGAGGGCTTGGCTGTGTGATCTCGAACACACAGGAATCACTCTATTAGGATTAACTCAAGTAAGCAGAAATGACGTGGAGCCCTGTGGATGGGTTAGCGAAAGAAGCAACAACCTGAAAGTCTGAACTCCTGGGTTCTAGGCCTGGCTCTGCTTTGAAACTCCCTGTGTGGCACCAGCATTTCCCTCTGCCAGGGCCTTGCCCATCCCCTCATCTCTGAAAGGAGATAAGGACGGGTGAGTCAGAGGCCCCTGCCAGACTCCTGCCGAGAAGCACTGTTGCTTGGCAACCCTTTAAGGATGGCCACAGGTCTGAGCATCTCATTGGGAATCTAGACACAGATCTGGATGTCCTCAAGACCCGAAACAAGGGTTTTTCTAGGAAGTGATGGTTGATCAGGATACATTTAAGACCCTGAAACTAAACTTCTGGCTTTCTTCTCTCCTTGCATTTCCAAAGGATGGGCATTTAAGTCCAGAAATTATGAAGAATCACTGATCTTTGAGGCTGAATGGCCTCCAATGGAGAGGTATGAATTGGGATTTTTAAGTGAAAAGTACCACAACCATCTACTAAGCTCTTACTCTGCCAGGAGCTTTAATGTATCAATTAGCTCTTTCTGTTGTTCTGGAAACAATCCTTTTCCAGAACAGTACTGTCATTATTCTCAACTTGCAAATGGGAAAACTGGGATACAGGGAGATGAAGGGACCTGCCTAAGGTCCTACATCTGGGATGCACCAAAGTGGAGATTTGAATCCTTGAAGTCTTTACTCCAGAATCTTCATTAAAAAAAAAAAGTCACAATAAAGCGCTAAGTACATAGAAACATATTTTCCCCTTAATCTTTTGAGATTAAGTTGCCCATCTGATGTTCTATCATCCTTAAACACTTTAGTATTTCAAACAAACAAGACGATTCTCTGATAAAACCAACAGAAAGGCATTAATATCAAGAAAGTAATATTGCCACATCGCTACTGGGAAATCCTAGATCCCATTTAAATTTTTCCAGTTGTCCTGATAGCTTTCCTTACAGCAAAATGATCCAGTTCCAGATCATGTTGCCTTCAGATGGTGTGTCTCTTTGGCCCCCTTCAGTCTGACACAGTTCCAGGGTCTTTCTTGGACTTTCATGACCTTGGCACTTTTTTTTTTTCCTAAAAGATTTATTTATTTATTAATTTCCATCTGTTGTTTTTAAATTTCTGACCACACAGAGACAGAAAGGAAAAACAAGAAAGCAAGCTACCAGATCTGGGACTCAAACTGTGGTTGGCTATGTGGGAATCCAGTGGCCTTTACCCCCATGCCACCTGCTGGCCCCCACTTTTTTTTTTTAATTATTTTATTTAACATTATTTATTTATTTATTTATTTATTTTAATTTGACCAGAGAGGGACAGAATGAGAGAGAGGGAAAGCAAGAAAGCAAGCCTCTAGGTCCAGGACTCGAACCATGGTCGGCTATTTGGGAGTCCAGTGGCCTTAATCACCATGCCACCTGTTGGCCTCTCCTTTTAAATTTTTTTTAAGAGAGATTTTTGCTATAAGGCATGTGCATTCACTGGAGAGACAGAGACAGAAAGAAAGTGAGAAATCAACTCTCAGGGGCAATGGCCACGCTGTGATTACTTCTCCATTCTCTTGGGATTTTGGGCATACATGCACACACACTCAGCGTGAGTTTCAAGCTGCCAGGACTTGAACCGTGGTCAGCTGTGTGGGAGTCCAGCAACGTAACCATTATGCCATCTGCTGGCCTGACATTGGCACTTTTGAGGACTATAGGCTAGTTGTTTTGCAGAATTCTTATTTGGATTTGTCTGATGTAACCTTATGTTTCAGGTTATGCATCTTTGGCAAGAACATTACAGGAGTGATGCTCAGTCTTCAGGGCATCCTATCACGTGGTACATGACTAGGGTTTGTCCAGTTCCCAACAATGCACACAATCTGATCACCTGATCAGAGCCTGCATTCTCGACCACCCCACAGTAGTCTACAAAGGTCCCCTTTCCAGATGCCACATAGTAAGAGCCACTTGGTGAAGCAAATCCACTAGCATCAGTCCCTCAAGATAAAAGTAACTACAGCTCCATAAAGTCGGTGGTAAGGCCATAAACCCAGCTAGAAAAGGTCATGCTTATATTTTTGGCTTTGGGCTGTAAACAGCTGTCTATACATTTTCAGGCCCAGACTCAAGACACTTATTCCCTCATTTTCCTCACTCTGATCCCTAGTGAACCTGAAGTCTGTTAGGTCCTCTCTCCCTGACCTTCTCCATGCTGAAACATTCTTTAGATTCTGAGTACATACTGTGTGTTAGGCACAGTGACTCTACATGTCACTGGAGATATGGAGACCGTTAAGTCACAATGCCCACTTCTAAGAACTTCCATTGAATTGGCTTCACATAGATTTCCATTTAATTTATAATTACTATGTAAGGGCAGACCCATGTCTTTTGACTTCAGTTCCAGTAATCTTTGTTCACTCTTGAGAACTGCCTCTTGGATCTTTTCATCACAGAAAAGAAAGTAAATATGTGCAAAAGGGACCAGCAGGTGGCACGGTGGTTAAGGCACTGGATTCCCCACGTGGCCAACCAGAGTTCAAGTCCCAGCCAGACCTGCCAGCTTGCTTTCTCACTTTCCCTCTTTCTCTCTGGTCAAGTAAAAAAAAAAAAATAATGAAGATGATGAATAGGGACCAGCAGTTAGCGTAATGGCTATGTCGCTGAACTCCCATGCAGCCAACCGTGGCTCGAGTCCTAGACTCGGTGTTCTAAAACTCATGCCAGGCGTGTATGCATGCAACCCCAAGATCCCGAGAGGAGCATGTAGGAGAAGGGATTGCGGCGTGGCCATCCCCCTTGGGGGATGATTTCTCGCTTTCTGTCTCTCTTTCTCTGTCTTTCTGGTGAACGCATGTGCCCTACAGCAAACACCTCTCAAAAAAAAAAAAAAGATGATGAATAAAACTAAATAATTCTTTTTAAAAAAGAAAATATGTGCAAAAATTAACAGCTAACACTTCCGCAGCACCAACTGTGTGCCAGATGCAGTTTTCATTGCCTTCAAATTTTATTTTATCGAATTTTCAACCATTTTGTAGAAGAGAAGACTTAGGCTTAGAGTGACTTATCCAAGGTCCACAGCTGGTAAATTTGCAGAACCGAGATTGGAACTCCAGGACCAGTGTGCCCTCAATGTCTACTCAGAGTTCCCAAAGCAGCATTAGCTCCCCTGAGAGGGCTGGTGGCTGCTTTGTTGTTCTTTTTATTTTTTTAAAGAGAGATTTTTGCAATAGAGCAAGTGTGATTGCCAAAGAGACAGAAAGCAAGAAATCACACCCTCCCCGCCCTCAAAAGAGATGACCATGCCATAATCCTTTCTCCTCCGTTCTTTCGGAATTTTGGGCACACATGCACACACGCCCGGCGTGTTTTAAGCGATGGGGTGCAGGACTAGAACTGTGGTCGACTAGTGGGAGTCCAGCGATATAACCATTACCCCATCTGCTGGTCCCTGTTTTGTTTATTGTATCCCCTGGTCCTAGCACAGAAGAGGCACTCAGTACCTTTTAAATTAGATCAGTGCAGGATTGGATATTATTTACTAGCCTACTGGAAAGGAAGAGAACAGAAATACTCGCTGGAGAGAATACTCTGGAACTTAATGTTTGCCCGTCCATTCCTTCACTCCCTGTCAAACTCCAGCATGAGGCAACTGCTCTGTGCCCACGGCAGTGCCTATGCTGACGGCCAAAGGCAGGGAGAAACGGCTGTGTCCCAGCCCACTGTGTCCGTGTTCCTCCCGACAACCCTTTGCGCTAGTCCTAAATCCTCACTTTACAGACCCTGATGGCAAAGGGTCTCCTTGGCCCCCAGTGGCTCGGCGACGACCACACTAACCATCACAGGCTGGGCGTCGCAGCACGAAGCAGGCGCCAGAAAATCGCTCCTCACCCATCCCGGACCCTGAACCTCCGGCTCTCCAGTCTGGTATCTCAGTCTGCCGCCTAAAGTCCAGTCCGCTCTGGCGTCTGTGACTACCATGGCAGCAAGTGCGTCATTTCCGCCGGCGGAGAGCGTCATTTCCGGTGCGCCATCTCGGCACATCCGGGTTCCGGCCGTCAGAGCGGTGCAAGTCCAGCGCGGGCCGCGGGGCTGTGTTAGGTGCGCGGGAGTCGCCGGAGAGGTAAGCCGGGCTGCAGAGTGGGACCGGGGCGAGGGAGGCCGCGGCAGGGGCTCGGGAGGGCGCGCTTCGGCCCAGCCTGCGCTGGACCCCGTCTCGCAGACAGCTCTGCCGACCCTCGGAGAGGGGCGGGCCCGGCCGGGGTCAGCAGGGAGTTAGTTGGTGCCTGCCCCTGGTTAGGAACCCTGGCCGGGTTAGGAACCCGAGCCTCCTTCGCGAAGCGGGAACAGCAGAGTGGGGAGAGCCCCGACTCCTGGCGTTCATGCCAGCAGGGTTCCAAATCACCTATCTTTTTTGAGCCTCATGTTTATGTTTTTGTCTGAAACCTGGAAACTGTTAGTGGGTCTACCTCTTGGAAGTGTTTTGATGCTGACATTAGATCATCTGTCTCAAGCATTCAGCCTGTATTTAGCACCTTCTGGGGGGCTCTATAACTCGCGGCTACTTTGAGATTGTTACCGTGTATCCAAAGGAGCAACGGTATTATTTAATATCATGTATCTGGGACTCCCCATCTCCTCTGAGAACATTTTCTTCCTATCCATTCCTGGAAGAGTTTGGGACAGCTGCACCCAATTAGTGGACCCAAACGCAGAGGAAGGAGGGAGAACTTTCTGACACAGCTGATTCGGGAGTTAACACCGCCTGTGGAAGTGGAACTCCCTTTAGGGAACTCCTTTCCCCTGCAGGCTGCTTACAGTGACTGGTACACAAGACGGTGACAATTGCTGTATGTTTTAATTAGATCAGTGAGTGAGTGAACATATATACCAACCTACTGGAAAGGAATGGGACCATTTCCTAGAGAGACTGCTTGTTTGTCCTTTCATTCTTGTATTCCCTATCAAACTGCTGTATAAGCCAACTGCTCTAGTTCGTGGCATGCTTATACTGAGAGCCAAAGATACAGGAGAAACAGTTTGACCTTTGTTCTTTGCACTTGAATGCTAGCAGTCACTGGCATTCGTTGAATATATTACTGTGTAGTACACCATGCTTGGTACTTGCATACATTTAATACTCTTAACAGTGAGTAAGTGATAGAGTTAGGATTTGAACTCAGGCTGTGATTATTAGTATGCTTGGTTTCACCCTTTGCTAAGTTCATGGCCTAATTCAATAACCGTAGTGTTTGTGAACCTAATCATGGGTCCATAGCAAAAGCTATTGTTTCTTGAGCACGTATTGTGAAACTTACCATCTTCTTCTTATTATTTAAATGTTTATTTATTTATCAACTTACTTGTGATTTTCAGGCCACCGGGTCAGAGACTTCAACCTTGGTTGGCCATGTGGGAGTCCAGTGCCACAACTACTATACCACCTGCCAGCCCCAAACTCATCATCTTTTTAAAGTGCCCTCTTAATCCTGCTTGCAAGCATTCTCTAAGGGCAGTATAGTACAGACAGGCCTCAGCTTATGGTGGTTGAATGTAGGATTTTTTTTTTTTTTGAGAGGTTTTTGCTATAGGGCACGTGTGGTCACCAGAGAGAGACAGACAGAAAGTGAGAAATCACCCCCCGGGGGCGGGGATGGCCATGCTGTGATCCCTTCTCCTCCATTCTCCTCTTGGGATCTTGGGCACACACGCACGCGTGCCCAGTGTGAGTTTAAGCCACCGGGTCTGGGACTTAAACCGTGGTCGACTACATGGGAGTCCAGCGACATAGCCTTTACGCCAACTGCTAATCCTGGATGTAGGATTTTTGACTTTATGGTGGTGCAGAAGTGATAGGCATTCAGTATGAACTGTCACCCTGTTGTAAATCAAGGAACTTCTGTATTAATGCATTTTCAGTTTACGATATTTTCAACTTACAGTAGGCTTAATTGGATATAACCCCATCATAAAGCAAGAAGCACCTGTAGTGAGCCCCAGTTTAAGACAGAGGCTGCCAGATCTCATCACCCTGCTGCCAAGAGGTCGGTACTCTGTTCCAATCCAGAGACGTCTGTCTCTTAAGGTGTTTTTTTTT